TTTTCAGACATAAATATACAAACCTGTATTCATAGTCATATTGTTTTTCATCATAGGTTTCTACAAGATATTGAATATAGCTCCCTGTGCTATATATAAGTGGTACCATATGGTATTTTCTTTTTCTTTCTGGCTTACTTCACTTAGAATGATGATCTCCAGGTCCATCCATGTTGCTGGAAATGGTATTATTTTATTACTTTTTATGGCTGAGTAGTATTCCATTGTGTAAATACACCACAACTGCCTTATCCAGTCATCTGTCGATGGACATTTAGGTTGCTTCCATGTCTTGACTATTGTAAAGAGTGCTGCTATGAAGATTGGGGTGCATGTATCTTTTTGAATTAATATATGCCCAGGAGTGCGATTGGTGGGTCATATGGTAAGTCTATTTTTAGTCTTTTGAGGAATCTCCATTCTATTTTCCATAATGGCTGCACCAAACTACATTCCCACCAACAGAGTAGGGGGGTTCCCTTTTCTTCACACCTTCTCCAGCATCTCTCCTTTGTAGACTTTTGAATGACGGACATTCTGACAGGTGTGAGGTGATACCTCATTGTAGTTTTGATCTGCATTTCTCTGGTAATTAGTGATACTGAGCAATTTTTCTTGTGCCTATTGGCCATTCCTATGTCTTCACTGGAGAATTGCTTGTTTAGGTCTTCTGCCCATTTTTGGATTGGGTTGTTTGTTTTTTTATCACTCAGTTGTATGAGCTGTTTGTGTGTTCTGGAAATTAAGTCCTCATAAGTCTCATCATTTGCAAATATCCCCTCATTCTGTAGGCTGTTGTTTTGTGTTGCTTGTGGTTTCCTGTGCTGTGCAAGAGCTTGTACGTTCAATTAGGTCCCGTTTGTTTATTTTTGCTTTTATTTCAACTGCCTGGGTAGACAGTCCTAGCACAACATTGCTGAAATTTGTGTCCGAAAATGTTTTGTCTGTGTTTTCTTCTAGGAGGTTTGTAGTGTCTTGTCTTATGTTTACGTCTTTAAGCCATGTTGAGTTTACTTTTGTGTATGGTGTGAGGAAGTGTTCTAAGTTCATGGGTTTACATGTGGCTGTCCAGCTTTCCCAACACCACTTGCTGAAGAGATGGTCTTTTCTCCATTGCATATTTTTACTTCCTTTGTCAAGGATTAACTGTCAGTAAGTCTGTGAGTTTATTTCTGGGCTCTTTATTCTGTTCTGTTGATCCATATTTCCATTTTTATGCCAATATCATGTTGTTTTGATGAATGTAGCTCTGTAGTATTGTCTGAAGTTGGGGAGGGTTATTCCTTCAGCTTCATTCTTTTTCTTCAGTATTCCTTTGGTAATTCTGGGTCTTTAGTGATTC